AGGGGTGAAATTTCACAGATTGAAAGTGGCAAAGCTAAGAGTCAAACATCAGTTGGTCAGATTCCAGAATCTACGATCTTTCCTCCAGTCTGTGTGGGTGTCACAAGCTGTGTGTTTGACAGCCACCTCCAAACCCAGCTCCTACCCTCCCCTTACCCCCACACTGGCCATCCATGACTAGGGAGCAAGTGTATACAGTGTGTAATCAAGATCAGCTCCATCACTTTTTGGCTGTGGTCACTGGGCAAAACATTTCACCTCTCACAGCCACATTTTCCTCATCTGTAAAATGGGTGTATGAATACTTATCTATGGTATTATAAAAATTAAATGTGATAAACCAATAACATAAGTAAAATGTTCAGCACAGCAGTTGGTATGTAAGTGCTTAAAAATTAGTAAGTGTTTTTAGCCATAATTATATATGGTAATAAAATCCAATTCACAGAGCCTTTATAAGGATTAAATGAGATAAACATATATATCATGCCTGGCACAGTAAAGAACCTACATAAAGATATATGCCCTCTTCCTTCCCTGGCTTGGCCTATGGTGTTAGTTCTTCCATGCATAGACATTTGGATACATCCTTAGTCAAAATAATTTGATCTGCATGAAAAAATATCTAATGAGATGTACTTTCCATCTCACCTGCTCATGAATACATCCCTGAGACCAGAATCATGTTTGGAATTTCCTGTCTCAAGGGTCTTTGGTTATAGTTTTTTCCTCCTCATTCTGATCTGGGAAACCATCAGAAGACCTTCCTTTGGGCTCAGATTCAGGGATCTATTTTTATAAAACTGAACTGGTCTACAAAGATGAGGCCATTTAAAATTTACTGTAGATTATTACCTGCTGGAATTGGCTTAACCAACATATCCAAATGTCTTTTTTATAAACAGATATTAACTTAAATAATAATAGTTTTAGCTACTATTTCTAATTTGAGAGTTTTAAAAACATAAATCTGACCATTGGGTATCTGAAGAACAGAGACAGAACTTCTCTCAGTGGCCCATCAGATGGATCATATGGCATACCTGCTTTTCCAGGGTCTGCAGATTCTTATTGCAGTTCCCATACGTCACGTTTTGTAATTGTATCTCTCCATATTCAGAGACACTGCACAGCCGGATTGCCATTGGACTGCCCGCTTTAATAAAAAGAAAAGTAAAAAGATAGTGTTTGCAAAGATGACCACAGCAACCACCTGCACCTGTACTGTCCCTTTACAACGTGACTGCTGCTCCTTCCATCAAGAGGTAAAGTCTATTCCTCTACTCCCTGAATTTGTGCTGGGCCTTGAAGTTTCAGCCTTCACCCTCTTGGAGTGCCATCCTGAC